TGAGCCTTCTCGTGGGTCGTACTGTTGCAGTCTTCTTCATTCTTCATCCAAATGTAACCCCAACATGTTACCCTGAGCAGAGATGGTTCAGCAACTTCCGCTGGGGGGAACTTGATTTTTGTTTTCATGTATTTTCAGCTTCAGTGGTCGCGAAATTCTACTCCCTATCTGAAATGTTTATATCCAGCTGTTGAATCTGCTGGAAACCAGCTGGTGGAAACCTGGAAACAAGTTCCGCAAAGACTGGCCACCACCTGATCCCTCCAGGTGGCAGCGGCGTGTGGGCACTTTGGCGGTGCACCGCCAACGGTCGGACACGTGGCCCCCAGCTGGATACGAGAAGTCAGCTACATGTCGGGACAAGGTGGTAACCAGCATCCAGAAAGCTGGATTCCACCCTATTCCGCAATGGGTCCAGCATGGAGCCAGCTCGACGGCTGGCTACCAGCTGGAAGAAGAAACTGGGACACGTCCATATCGTCACTGACCAGCCATGTAATATACATTGTATTCCCCAAAATTCACTAGAGCACAAAAATTTCAAACCAAATTATTCAACACTATCAAGGTACACACATATATATTACGGTGCGGCCCGGGCAGGAGGGAAAACATCATGCGCAATAAGGATAGGGGAGGGGGCAAGAAGGAACCGGAAGAAGCGTTAGACGAGAGGAGTTGTGAGGTTGATTCCTTGACCGGAATGCAGAGGAATGAAAGACTTGCAGAGAGAAAGCACCATTCGTTGTTAGACGTTGCTATTAGACGAGAGTTGCCCAAGAATCGGACGACAACTTGATCCGTATTGCAGTTGAGCCACACATTCAGATTGGTGTTGCGGATGCAGCCGAGGGGATGTACTTGATCCATATTTGCAAGCGTTGAAGTTCGAGGTCTTGAGAGAGATGCTAGAAGACCCGACCATCTTGAATCAGTTTTGCGACGGACGCCATGACTGATAGACCATTGTAGGAGAAAGAGAGATGACAACGTGGACACTTGACAATGTCGTCTGGGAAAAAAAGAACCCTGATGGAAAAGTTGGCATGCGAAATGATTCAGGCAACGTTTCTTGATTGAGACGAGTCAAGGCTGCAGTTGCGAGCTGGACGAATGTACACTGATTGGTGAATGACGAAGGTAAAAGCCAGTCTTCCCTAGGAGCATGTTGAGGTTGTACGTACAATCGCATGGGGCATTGCGTCCAGATTCAGAGAAATTGTTTGGCAGATTGGAGACATCTTGAGAGCGACGTTGCGAGTTTAAGCGTTGGAGATTAGAATACGTTCTCCACCGGGCCTGATTCGTACTGTAACCCTTGAAGACAGGATTATCATCATGATGCCGTTGCGATGATTTGGCTGGTTGCACCTTGCGACATGAAACGGAGACCACAGACGATAGAGCGTGAGCGTAGAAGGAGCGATGAGAAGGACACCCTCATGTGAAAATCAGAACCCTGTCGAACACTGATCGGTCAAACACGCACGGTTTGTGGTATTAATGGGAAGCAATTCCAGCAGCGTTTTTAGGAGTGTTGAAGAAATTATTGAGATCCAATGACATGAGAACTGGTCTTGGAACGACATAAGTAAGTCATCCTTGACTCGGAGGACATTGAGATTGTCGGTACTGTGCATTTGAGGTATCGGGGGGTGCAATTTCGATGTAGGCAACAGAGATGACCTTGTTTACCAGAGTAACCGTGTGCGAGATTTGCGTTGCGACCCTTGAGAGCGGTTGGAGGGACTACCACAATGTCGCAGGAGGAGGAAGAGAAGGGATGGATGGCGGAAGAGGAAAGAGAATAGCAACATGCACGTGATTGCACCACTGAGCAAGAACAAGCATTGTGCACGGACCCGCCGACTCGCCGAGATGGCCATTGGATCAAAATTGAATGGCAACGTTTCTTGTAACAGATTCTGTAGCTTTAGAGAAACCCTCGTTGACGGCAAGGGGGTGTCAATTCAAGAGAAACTAAGAGACCTCGGATTCTGGAACAATTAGTCACCTTTCGACAGGAGATTGAGCTCCAAAGGCCTCAGAATTCCTGCTTGTTGAGCTAGAGAAAAAAACATTATTTCCTAATTCGGGTGCCGAGAGGTTTGCCGGTGCACCGTAATCAACATGAGTAATAAGATGTCAAATCCTGGTAGCATGAAAAGGCTCTCGAAAATAAACAGGCGTGTTTGTGGAGCCTGAGATCAGTTTATACAATGGATAGAAGCAGTGAAAACATACTTGAGGACTCAACTTGGTCATTTTTTCTTCTCGAGGCCGTGGGAAACTTCGGAACAACGTCCTAAATGGGCAGTATGACGTCATTAACGACGGGACGGGTCCACCGAAACCCGCGAAAATAAAAATTCGAGGTATGGTACGGATTTCGCAAATCGGGATCCCCTTGGTTGACGGTATTTAGTAATTACCTGACCCGAGCCAGCCTCCAGAGCGCTCTTTGATGGTCGGAAAGCAGAACATCGCCGTCAGTTGGATCATCTATGATCTGACAAGTGCCCCAAGGTCCAAATCTAGTCTGCATCGTACATCGAACTTGAACTAGCAGACGGTATCTAAACATGGCACGAAATGAGCCTTCTCGTGGGTCGTACTGTTGCAGTCTTCTTCATTCTTCATCCAAATGTAACCCCAACATGTTACCCTGAGCAGAGATGGTTCAGCAACTTCCGCTGGGGGGAACTTGATTTTTGTTTTCATGTATTTTCAGCTTCAGTGGTCGCGAAATTCTACTCCCTATCTGAAATGTTTATATCCAGCTGTTGAATCTGCTGGAAACCAGCTGGTGGAAACCTGGAAACAAGTTCCGCAAAGACTGGCCACCACCTGATCCCTCCAGGTGGCAGCGGCGTGTGGGCACTTTGGCGGTGTAATTACACCTTAATGATAGCATTATTTCCTCCATGTTCTCTATGCATTGGACCAACTTTGGATTTCAAAAAGTAGAAAGATCTCGATTCTGTCTGCTGCCTTCCCGACATAGATGACTGGCACTATTGGGCAGCTTTTCAACCTGACGCTGCATTTTTACTGACTGGGATGTCGTAACATGGTTCCAAATGGTAGCTGTTTTGTTGAACATTATAGAATTGGACTCTGCGACAAAACTTGAGGGTTTGGGCACGGTTTGGATGATTTTTTTCTGGAGTAGCGAGCGACCCGGAGCGACCAGAAAAAAAACATCTTTTTTCGGCTGTCTATTAACTTAAGATCTTAATAAGGCGTTAATATTAAGGGCATTTTAAGACCTGAGGTCTTAACAAGAAAATCCACCCTTAATAACCCCTTAAGTTCCAACACTGACGGAGAGGGATTCGTGAGTACGGAGATTGATGCATTGATGACGGAGGTTCGGCGAGCGAGCGGAGTGGCGGGAGGCAAATGCGTTGGAACATCAGCATGAGGAAGGAGAAAACCCAATGGGCACAGAGATCTTGAGATGCAGTGTTGAATGGACGGGAGCGGTCGAAAAATTGCAGCTTACAGGGAGCACGTTGGAAGTCTGGGTTTCGATGAGCCAGAGAAGAGGAGCTTGTAGGAGATCTGGACGAGATACGGGTAGGCCACAAGGTGTTCATCGTCGCCAGTGCCCACTGCCCAGCAATAGTTGATGCGATGGAAAAGTCTGTAGCGAGACACGGAGGACGTTCAAGTTCCAGGACGAGAATGGGACGATGAGTCCAATCCTTTGATTTCAGCCCGTCGTTGAGGATGCACGCGCTGTCGCTTGGCGAGGAGAAAGCGAAGAGAGGAGACATGGTCGTGGAACTTGCGTGGAACAGAAAGAAAGAGCGGTGTGATGTCATCACTCGGAGTTGCGGATCAAAACACGCCCCCACGTGCGGCCACCGGAACAAACGCGTCTGCCAGTACTGATTTTTTTGTGTACGGACAACAGGTCCGCACAAAAATGAGCGCAGTGGTCAGGTCCATGGCGCAGTAGAGTTTAACCGCACGAAGTATGCTGACTGGTCTGAGGACGTATTGAAACGGGGAGGTGGCGGCGGGAATTGAATTGAAACAACTGGGTTCTGTAAGTAAACCGCGGAGGAGGGGTTGGAGGCATAGAGATATATGATCACGATGTTGAGCCACAGACAGAACAATTTGGGTGATCGATAGGACGGTGCGTGCATCTTGTTTTCTTGTTTTCTCGACGAAGAACGGGAAGTGCCACATTGCATCTGGGTCCGGGATGGATGGAGTCTACGATCACGGCAAATATTGCGATGAAGGTGTGGAATGTTCCACGAGAACAGTATGCATAAAAAAATGCAGACAACTATGCATTCAAAGCTGACGTGATGAATTTCACCACCGGGGGCTCTGTGAGCAGTCCCATTCAACTCTTCATCCAGGGACCAGGATGCTTCCGGAGGGTTTATTTCTCAAACAATTCAGTCGCAGGAGGTTCCTGTCGAGAATTACACTCTGCATGGTTGCTTGTTTTAAAGTCAGGTTTCTCAAGGAATTCAAGAAGAGCTCACCGCTGAGTGAGTGAGTATAAATCCAAGTGAGGAATCAAAATGCAAAATCTGCCTCCAACAATCCAAGCACCCGGACCCGACTCGAACGGGCAGCTTCTGCGGCATACAAAGTTTTGCTGATGATTCAAAGTGGATGTACATGTAAGGGACTTCACCACCGGGTCTGTATTTGTTCACCCCACACATCGATACCAGTACTAGTCTCGTGGATTTAGAAAATGAAGGTTTGGTGTTTGGTTTGGGACCACCTTCTGCTGAACGTTTTGTCGCGCTAAATATGCAAAGCGGATGTGATCTTACCACAGGGTCTGCATTTTCCAATTCCCAGAAGGTTAGCTATTCACCTCGTCATTATTCTCGCACGGATATAATATCACCCCACTGCAGTGTGCACAGAGTTTGCAGCTCCTGGCGCGGAATGGATCATGACTTGAAAAACGAATGCAGGATTGGCTTTGGACAGAAAGAGCAAAAAAAGTTGAGGCGTACTTATGACCCAAACCCGAGTCGAACGGGTGACTTCCGCCAGAAATCGGCATGATCGTCCTTACAATCAAAGCGGATGTGATTCATTTCACCATTGGGTCGCACTTTCAAGCTAACAGAGATCTGTAGGAGGAGCCTCCCTGAGATTCATTTCACCATTGGGTCGCACTTTCAAGCTAACAGAGATCTGTAGGAGGAGCCTCCCTGAGATGATACTGAGGTCCAATATTAGCCTCGGAGGTGAGGCGCAGGATTGATACTTGAGGAACATGGCACAGACTTTACTCTAAGCTGGCTAAAATCAACGAGTGCATAGTTGCTTTGAAATGAGGTGTAAAAAATAATTGAGGGTTTACTGCAGTTCGCGGCTACTTGCGACTCACGGACCCGGACCCGATTTGAACTGGTAATATTTCGGCATAACATCTATGGCAGATGGATAATATCCAAAGCAGATGTGATGAATTTCACCGTGAATAGTCACAGTTGGACGGTGCATAGAGAACTGAACAGGAGCGCGAAAAGAAGCAACAAAAAAAGGAGGGAAAGACGATACATTATGATCCAAACGCGACTCGAACGAGTAACTTCGCGGCATCCGAGCTTCGCTGATGATGCATAGCGGATGTGAGGCACTTCACCACCGGGCCTGTATTTCTATCTTGTGCACATCGACAGCAGCGTCTTGCAGACTTCGGATGAAAGTGAACATCGAGTTCAATCTGGTTCAGAATGAATTCACTTCAGCAATGTTCTTGAACAGACTGGGATATGATATTCCGCCACCGGGTTTGAAGCCCGTTGCACGACGCGGAATGGCACACGAACGTCGCTTAAGGAATTGAACCTGACGTGGATAATGGTGCGAGGGAATAAATGATTGATTGGGATTAACAACCAAAACTGAACGGGAGACGGAAAAAGGTATGTAGAAACAGTCCTAATGATCCAAACCCGAGTTAAACGGGTGACTTCCGCTTAAGTATGTATCCATTCGCTGCAAAACCTACAGAAGATTGAATGCTGACTTCGACAATGGTCTCGAACAGATTTTATTTAATATTTCACTACTGCATCCAGTTTGAAACTCGTTGCGCGAAATTGAACCTAAATCTCCCTGTAAGAAAAATTGAAGATGGCCTGAAAATGATGCACTGGAATGAAGAGATGAGAAACTCAAACTGAACAGGCCATGGAAAACAAAGATCTAGACACCGGCTCCATGAGCCAACCCGACTAGAACGGGTGACTTACGGGGCTCCTAGATTCGAGATTGTTAAAATTTGTGCAATTCGAGCACAAAAGAAATCTGGTGCCACTGTGACCCTCAAGGTCCACAAATAGCTAATCAACACGTTGAGATAGTGTTTTAAGAAGCAGAAGTTGAATCAGAAGTCGGCTCGGGTTTTAGTCCTTAGTGGAAGAATTTGAATTACGGCTGAAACGTACTGTACAGTTTCGATCAATTCTACTCAGCTGTGACCTGTGACCCGCCAATTCGAACTTGAGATTTCGAAAATGGGCTGGAGTAGCTGTGACACAGAAAAAAATTCGAAAATTGGGTGGAAATGAGTAGAAAGGGTTCTTATACACTGCAGATAGCTCTTTCAGCACTGTATGAGGATGTAGAGCATAGAATACAGCATAAAACATTGCCCTAGCCTGAAGGGGTCAGATCAAATGAGATGCAGTCTGAATGACATATTGATGACATAATTACAATTTTTTCCTCCACCTCCTCGCCTTGCCTTCGCAATGGGTGCTCTTCCCGACATCTTCGAGATTTCAGATGGGCCGGAAGAGCTCTTGTTGCCCCCAACCAATCACAGAGATCCGACCCCTTGATGCATCCCACCAAATATCTCTTGGAGCTCTTGCCGACAATTACCACTTTCGATGTGAAAGATATACCCGTGCCGCCTTCAGTCGTTGTCAAAGCCCTTAGGTGCTCAACCCCGAGGTGAACTCCATTGTGCTCGTACATTCAACACCAGCACATCGCGGAGAAGATGGCTGTTATCCACTGTGGCTGGCTATGATCTGGCCATCAATGGAACACGTTCCTGAATTGAGAACACTGTAATGTACCGCAGTGGCCTCTGTCAAACAAACACTCGAAAAATCCTCAACGAGCAAAGCTGCCGCCGGGCACATCATTCCGCGAGAAGGCCGCGGCGCTTTGCGCCGCGCACGCGAAAAGTTGATTTTTTGGCTGATTTTCGCGGATTTTGTGACCATTTTGAACATTCGAAAATCCCTTCGGTGACCAGTGACAGGTTCGAATATATTCGAAAATTTTGGGGCCTGTGACCCGTGACATCCGAATTGATCGAAACTGTACAGTAGTGAGTCTCTACGTCGTCTTTGTCTTTGATGGACGCGCCCTGTCATGGATCCAATAAAGCACCAATCATTTCATTTTTAGGTCCGAAGCCTGAGCCTGGGCGGCAAGTAGGACGGTGGACGTGAAGGAGGAAGAAACACTGCCGCTGATGGCCCATGTGGGATAATTCCCACGAATTCTCAGTTAGTGATGCCCAGGGCCCGGCTTGGCCTAAAAGCCCTGGCTCGGGCCTGGCTTGAGCGGGCTTGGGCTCAAGATTCTTCGAGGCCAAGCCCGAGCCCGCCAGTAGGGCTTGGCCTGGCCTGGCCTAGGGCTTGAGCCAGGGCTTTTGAGCACAAAGCGGTTGAGGGTTTATAACCACTGCAAAAATTGTGTGAGTCCCAAAACCTGTTGAAACAATGTTGAACAATAGTTTAAAGATACATTTCATCATTTTCAGCGACCTTTGCTGCGTACAGCCAGCATTCAGGCATGACTGGACTTGCCTTACCTGACATCATGAATATTTTGAATCAGTGCAGATCAGAAGATACACAGCCAGAAAATCAACACACTCAGTCTCAAACATTACAGATTTTTTTCGAGTGAAATGGGCAGAGCAGAACCCTGTAAACCTCAGTGTCTCACAGATATGCAAGCCCGGGCTTCGAGCCCTGGCCTAGGGCTTTGAAATTTCAAGCCCGAGCCCTAGGCCCGCCAAAGCCCGACGCCGGGCTTGGCTTGGCTCGGGCCTGGGAGGGCTTGGCTTGGAGGGCTTCAGGGCTTCAGGCCGGGCCCCGGGCATCACTATTCTCAGTATGTTGAATTTCAGTGTTCACACTCGTTTCGACCAGTTTGGCGTGGAACTTTGAGGGATGAGAGATTTAGCTCCTCCGTTTCCACTTCATGTCCATGTTCATCGATGCACACAATGTGCAGTCCGGATACTACTTAGAGAAGCAGCGCTCATCCATACTAGTCCGCCTATCTACAACCAACTAGAAGACAAGCAACAAAGCCGCAACGAATAGCAGCGCCGTGACGCGGTATCCTTTCCCATAGCGCACAAAACCAGCGTTGGGCTTACTTGAAGTCGACGCTGGATCCGCTGATGAGGCCGCCCCAGTCGTACGGGATGGATTCAATGCGGGCCCAGTCGCTGAACCTTTCGACGCCGATGCCGATGTCGAGCTCGCGGGGGACGCTGTCGATGGCGCAAAGCCGGTGTCTAACGTTGCTAGGGCCTCGACCGTGACGGTCGTGAGAGGGAACGTGGCTCCACCCTCCGCTTTTTGTACAGAACACACCGCTTGGCTTCCTCCGATGAAAGTGCATGCATCCGTGACGAACCAGGTTGTAACAGTGCTGGTCGGAATGAAATCGGTGAGAGCATCGTCCCAGATCAGAGTGTAGCCTCCGGAAGATTCCAGCAGTGTCGCTACGCATATACTTAGCACTCAAGGTCTGCGTGAAATGAATGGAAACGGAATAAACAACCCACCCGTCTGCTCGTCTTTGAAAGTCCCGTGCGTGGTTCTAAAGATTTCGTAGGTCGTGACGTCTCCCGCAGCTGCTGTTCCGATTGGAAAGATCGATTCAATGCCTCCAGCTACAAAACCCTCGAATTCAGGGGCAGCCAGAACGGTCACAGGCGAATCTGGTGATGGACGTGCTGAGACTGGGGAAGAGCGTCAGTGTGAAGATTCTCGATCGCTAGTTGGAGGCGCATACTTACCAAGCAGCGAGGATAATAAGAGCCAAGGTAAAGGTGGAGTCTTCATGCTGAACTTTCAGTTGTTCGGAGGGATGAGAACGGCTACGGCTCTTTCGATTTATAGTCTTCAACCTGGAATTATGTATGGCAGTCTCGGGGTATTTTTCTCGAATATAACGGACTCCGTCGTGGGTTTCAAGCTTTGAACCCACCGGGTTTCTATCTCGGAAGGCCGCTTGACGACCGACGGCGGGCGCCCGAGGAGGCCGAAACTTGATCAGATGCCGAAAAGATATCCGCACCCATCTTTGTATTGCAACTTGGTTGAAAATACGTTCACACTTGAGGAAAATCTCAGCGCTAAAGTTCACGATAGACCTTACCATGACATGCACTGAGAAATTTGCGCTGAGAGATTTGTGCTGAGAAATTTGTGCTGAGAAATTGTGCTCAACTACTACAAGCGGGAAAGACCCTAGCCGAGACGAGCCAGTCACCTAATGACCAGGGAATGGTGTCGGACTGTCCTCCCTCGCAATGTGTTCACCGAGTAAAAGAAACCAAAAACCAATCGGAGAATACCTATTCAGACGCGGGGAGTCGAACCCCGTCATTCTGCTCACCAATATCTCGTAAATCAAATTCGAGCAGACGCGTGCCGTATGCCACGTCCGATTACAGCAGGGTATTTTGTATCCAGTGCGGTACTTAGGTCATTGTTTCCGGACGCGCGGAAAATGGGATGGGCACCACCCTCGGTGGGTAGCCGAAATAATCACAGTGGTTGCGACAAATACTCGAGTCAGTGGTTGATATTCGTTGCTCATGTCGAAAGAAGCAGGGCTGAGCACTCCTTTGGGGAAATTTGAACAGGATGTAGTAAATACGACGGGAGACAGAGGCTTATTATCTTCTCACGAATCGGAAGCCTCTAAATTACAATTGCTGAATACCGCCGACTGGGATAGAATGGCTTTTCTTGCCACGTTGGAGATATCAATCTAGGAAGAAGGAGATTAAATTTGACTTCTCTTTCATCGTGCTCATGTTCGCTAAAGTAACCGTAAGCCACAGAAGAAAATGAAAATGAAAAAGAGCAGAAAAAATTGATCGGGAAGCCGACACATTCGGACGCGGGGAGTCGAACCCCGTCCTTCTGTTAACAATGCCCAACAAACGACCCTTCAACTGACGGCGGATGCGCACCGTGCGCTACGTCCGATGGATTCCTTCCGGGGGTATTTAAGTATTTGGATTCCCCCGGCTAGGTATGTAGATGTAAGCATCGCGCTGCAGGAAATTTAAACTTGAGTAAAATTTCAAGATTAGGGTATGGATGTACTTACTTCGCTGAGACCCAGGACGCCTTTCGGAAATGAGATGGGAGTATTGCGGAGAGGGAACGGGATTCAAGATGCGTTTGAGATGCGTAGAAAAACATTAACGGCCGATGGATTTTGGGCGCTGGCACGGCGCAGGAGCGGCGAGGGACGCTGTGGAACGGACGGCGCAGGACATCTTAATGTCAATTTTTGAGGTTTGATTCACGGGTAAGTATTCGGCATTGACAGAGTCAAATCGAGTCGGGCAGGGTTTCCGCCTGCACCGTGAGCCGTCGCTGAGCGTGCAGTCCCTACCTTGAAAAATGGATGAGCTGTGTACATGTAGAGGCGGCGTCAGTCCCACTCGTCCCACGGAAGAATTCAGAGAAGGGGGAAGGGGAATGATGAGTCTGTAGCAGAATGCCGGTCAGGCCAAACGCGAAATGTTCTCTGCAGGTGTGGAATAAGGTGAAGGAAGGACCGGTATGTTACGGTCGAGCGGTACGCCGAACAACTCGAACTCGCATGCATACGAGTACGGGGGAAAAACCCCGCGCTTGACGGATAAAAATGATAACGTAGACTGATGAAAATATTGACAACAGAGAAATAGACCACGCACCCCTGGAATCATCGATGAAGCATACTGTAACCGAATCGCGTACGTTGGTACATAGCCAGCTCCCGGAAGTGTCTGGCGGTTTTTGGGACCGCATGATAAAAGAGCGAAAACGTTTTGGAACCGATGCAGCCAGAAGAGCGAAGACGGCGATTGTAATGGGAGGGTGAAGACGGTGAGGCAGAGAGCAATTGCGCTCATCGATGGGCACAAAGCAGTCGCAGCCAGGGGCTCGGGGGGGGGGGGGGGGGGGGGGGGGGGGGGGGGGGGGGATGGCATTGTAATTATGGTTGGACTGGAGCAATATTGATCGTATCGGTCAAGCGGCAGTCCACACGAGACGCACATCATGAAGCCAGTGTGCGGGGAAAAGCATATCCAAGAGGAACGAAGCACGAACGGCGCAGATGGCAGTGGCTGCGACGCCGGAAAGTGCATGCACATCGCCCGGCGCGAGAACGAGCGACTTGCGGGGCGGAGAATAGACGTACATAAGGCGCCGCGAGTCTTATTCGAAGCCGACTGTGGAAACAGGAGGCGGTGGGTGCGGAAAACTCGTCGCACTTTACACAAGGATGAAAATACAGCGCTGGTCCTGCCCGCACTCGGAGTCAAGTTCTGAATCCGGGTTAGCGGAGAATCGTACGTGATGTGATTGAGCGGCGGCGGCGCACCTTCGCAGGGATAGCCATCACTTGCCGGCGCAGGCTTCAAGCCTAGGCCTCAGGGACGCATGCGGAAGGAATACCGCGGTCGTCGGTGAGGAGTCGGAGCAAGAGATAGGAATGCGCGACGTGAGTTGGAGGTGTCGTATCGCGCCAGAGCAGGAGGGATGGTCGCGCAGGAAGCTCGTTGGGGCAGCGAGATTCGAGAACGTGCCCTATTTCCTGGGGCTGCTTATCGAGCTGGAGAATAACCGCGGGGAACAGCATCGCGGGTCGAGGGACTCGGAGCGCGGAAGCCCGCAAGGATATTGGTTTTGCGTCCACTCGGTGCGAGCAGTGCACGTCGCGGCACACGCAGCAATCCGACTAGCGGGGAGTACAGAGGGCGTGATTGGAGCGTGGTGAGGGGGGTGCCGCAGAGGGTTACCCGATGTGCGGGCCAAATTGACTTGCGCACCAAGCGGAGTTTGAAAATTGGCTTGGCGTGCGGGGCGTGCATGTGCGGGCGTTGACTTGTGCGTGCGGCCTTTTGCAGCCAACCTCGCCACTGTATGGAAAGGTTCCAGAGCACCCACCTCGAGTCCCCAATCATGCCACAATCATCCCTGAGGCCTTTGAACTCGATCTCGCTCCCATTCAACATCGTTGATGGCATCAAACGCCGTGATCGTCATTGTATGTAGGTCGTTGTCGCCGCTGTGACTGGCGTCGAAGACTCCAAGTCGAGTATCCTATAACTGTGAAAAACATCAGTTTAACCATACTTACCTGCTGCTCAGTAGAGGGCTGCCAACCTCAGGACTTGATGCCCGGTATCATAATCGTCGTCGTCTTTGGAGCAATGACCTCGCAGGTTCGCACAGGGTACAAAGTCCGATTAGCACCAATTCTGTCCTCAGTATTTGGGCCGGCCACATTGACATCGTTGCATGGGGGATCAGCCACATAGATAGCGCACGGCTGGTGAATACTTATTGGTCAAAGTTCACGTCTGATTCCATCCAAAGCCAACCCAAGTTTTACTGGATTACGAAATGGGCGGGAGATTGACTTGTATACCTCAAACTCCCCGCACAATCGATGCGCCCCTGGGACCTGGGTAGCTGCTTACTACAATGACGGTGTTTTCATGATCAAACTAGAATAGTAGGTCGACATCGCTGCGGGGAAAGTCAACGATTTTACTTACACGTGCACATGTTGACTTGTGCGGGCGGCAAATTGGCTTGCGTACCTAAAAGTCACCCGCACAAGTTAGTTTGCTCTCGCATAGATGGCCACCATACCAAGAGAATCTTAGAGATGCCGGTGCATGGAGCTTCGGCGATGTACGTGACCCGATGAGTGGTAATTTTTGCTCCCTCCGGGTGTTCCTGTGTCAAGTAAAGTAACATCATGAGTACAAATCAACTTGCGCAGCGAAAATGAACTTATCAACGTACAGCACTGAATTTCAAGGGCCCTAAGACTTTTCCAACCACCGACGGTGTGGTTGTAACTGGTATTTTAATCCTTAAAGTGTATAAGTAGCAGGCGAAAAAACTCATAGCGAGTACCCCTTGACTAATTATGCCGCGTCGGTTAAGTGAGGGGCTCGGCGCGCGGCCTGGATGCTCAAACTACGTCAGAATCAACACAAGTTGATGCGTGCGGGGATTACGTAAAGGGCGGCGAATTGACTTGCGCACCCAAATCGGGGTCTGTGAAACTTCCGAAAACGGCACGTCGGGGTCGGCGCCGTGAATATGTGATGTCAGCATGGTTAGAGACCGAATATGGACCCAGAATATGGCAGACCTGGCTCACCATTAATATCCCTGAAACTCTGCGTAATTAGGGCTATTTTGGCGGAACACAGGGTCGCATGACGTTGAAAATTGAACTGCAGACTCTATGGTGCCCATTGATTGTCCAGACAGTCGCAAGTCAATGATCGGTGCAGCGTTGTGCGATCGACACGGTTACGACGTTGCGAAAGGTGGCCATACACACAAAAAAGAGGTCTAAGAAGGCATATTTCACTGCAGGTACAACATTCAGAGTGCTAACAATACTCCCAGCATAAAAGAATGGCAGTGGAGGATGTGGAATGCTGCCAAGTTAAGGGCGGCAGATTGACTTGTGCAAGTCACATTTGTGACTTGCATGTCAGCATGTTGACTTGTGCGGGCGACAAATTGACTTGCGCACCAAAAACACCCGCACAAGTCAACGCAAGTCAATCCGCGCGGGCGCAAGTCAATTTGGCACGCACAAAAGTGAACCCTCGGGTGCCGCAGGACAGTAACGTGGTGTTGGGAGTTTGAGCGGCGAGATGGCGGGTTAGAAGGAAGTATCGGGCAGAACAAGAGGAAGGAGAAAAGCAAAGCAGGAAGAAGGCCGAAAATGATGACATCAGGCAAATAGACGTCAATTGGTTGACGGGCCGGGAGGCCGATTGCTTTTTGCTGCTTGAGGTCAATATGCAGCACTGTTACACATGGCACGTTTTCGCTCCGGCGCAATGCTCCGCGCTTTGTGGTGTGAACCTTCGATTTAAGTTTTCGGCGTTCGCCATACTGGAGACTCGGGTTGATATTTATTTCGATTACTTACGCGCTTCGAAAGAAAGGGCTAAGGATTCCGTTGGGCGAGTCTGAACAGGATCTAGCCAACACGACGGGGGACATAGCTATTTCAAACCAGACTCTGAATTACTGCAAGTAATATCAACAACTTGAACGAAGTTACTGTTTCTGCCGCGTTGGAAATATTAATGTAGGATGGAGAAGGGAAATTAAATTTGACTTCCCTTCCAACATAGGAACAATCACCAAAGAAAAGGCAAAGAAACAGAAAAAAATCGGCTGCGAAGCTGAGTCATTCGGACGCGGGGAGTGGAACCCCGTCCTTCTGTTCTCAGTAAGCTAAGACTGCCTGTTAACTGACGCCAGATGCGTGCCGTGAGTTCTTCCTGGCTGTTGTTGAGTATATACACGTGGATGTCAGCATCAGGCTGCATATAACTACGATAGCAGATCCCTTCCGATCCCCTCCGAGTTGAATTTTTACACGGTTCAATTTTGGGCGGTTCAATATTGATGAATCCAAAGCTAGCCGAGTGCAAATCTGTAACTTGGGAAAGCAATTTGGTTCCATTCCAGTGGGTAGGATTCCGATTACAGGGAGGGCTTTAGTGCTTCGTGGTGTATATTCGGACACAAACCTCGGCTTCTTGAAACGAAGATAAAACTTGTTAAAACTAGATAAGCAAAAGGTAATACGGCACACCTTGAAGCACTGTGTTCACCGAGTAAAAATGCGGGGACAATTATTATTCAGATGTGGGGAGTCGAACCCCGTCCTTCTGCCCACCATTGTATACGTTTCGAACAAATTTGAGAAGATGCGCACCGTGCGCCACGTCCGATTGATAGTATATGATTGAAAACCATCGAGGTAGGAGCATCGTCAGAAACTCCCGACAACAAGAAGAGCACCAATTCACCTGGCATTACTCTGGTCTGCGCTCAATACTCGTAAATTACGCGCTCCCAAAAAAAAGGGCTAAGCACTCCGTTGCGCGAGTCTGAATCTCGGATCTACTCAATACGGCGGGAGACATATGGCAGCTATT